ATTGTTTCCTTGTCATAAGTTTTCTGATATTACATCAGCACAGACTCTTTGGAACAGGGTCTCACCAACCCCCACATTCAGGCCAATTACCTGGTATTTAGTTATCAGTTTTCTCAGGGACTGTCTGTTCTTGGTGAACAAATACATTAAAGAGTGCTGATGAAATTCCAGGGGCCCAAAGTAGAAGTTGTATTTCTGAGTTCAGAGTTTCTATTTCAGGGATGAGTAAGTGGTAAATTTTTACTGAGAGATTCTGGCCTAATAGAGTGAGGTCCTCAAGGTCCCCCAGCCTGGCCCACAGGCATTTCACCTGCCTGGAAGCTTCAGCTCCTGCTCAGAGATGGGTCTCCCAGTTCTTTATGTTGGCATGGAAACAATTAATAATTTAAGCCATACTTATTAAAAAACAGAAAACTGTATAAATACAATACTATAATAATAAATGTAAAAGTCAATCCAGCTGGGCACTGTTCCCAGGTTACCAGCTGAGCCGAAACACAAATAAGTAAAGAAGAAAAACTACTGTATAATGCAAATGGTGCTATCTCATTGTTTTCTACTTCTCTTTTATTGCAAATATGTACTATTGAGGTAACATTATGGATAAATGGGTTTTGTGAACGAACCTGGAAAACTAATCACTGTTCATAACATTAGTTCTATAAGGAGAAAAGGTATTGTGTATTACAAACAGACAGTTTGCAAGCACATTTTTAAAAGCACAATCGTTTTTTAAGCTGGGGCCTCCTGAAATTTGAACCTAGAGTTGGATATTCTGTGTTCAGGGTAGGGGGGGTGGGGGGGGGGTCCGTGAAAATTAGAGACCTCTCGGAATCCCCGCCCCTTAAATCCTTGCTGCCCTTTTCATCCTAGAGACTATTTCTCGTTTTCTTTATTCTCTGCTACTGTAGTCCTCATTTCCATCGCCTTGTTCTAGCCAAGTCCCAGCCCCATCCTGCAACACTGTGGAGACCCCAGCAGTCCAGGAGGAATGACTGTCTTTATCTTTGTGCACCTTATGCATGGCAGCCAGGCTCATAGGAAGCCATGCACCTGAGTGGCCAGGCGTGTGGCTCTGAAGCCAGACTGCTGTCCCTCGGCTGTGTGACCTTGGCATGGTGTTGCAGTTGTCTGAGCCTAAGTTTCATCCCTACACAATGAGGCCGTGTGAGGACTAGCGGGGAAATACTAACTGCCAACCCTCAGACCAGTACCTGGTATGGGACAGCGGCCCATCCATGTCCATGCAGCTGCATGGTGGGGTAGTTACTAGCGGATATTAGGTTTCAGACAGATATCCATAAATTCAGACAGCAAACCCACAGAATGAAATATTTTCTGAGTTCTAACCAGCAAACTTAGAAACAAATGTCTGGAATTTCCCTGTTTGTGATAGGTTTTGAACATACTTTATTAGGAGTTAGGGGAGGGGAAGGGATGGTCCACAGTTGAGTGAAATATCAAACTCTTATTATTATTATTTTTTTTTTAAATATATTTTATTGATTTTGTACAGAGAGGAAGGGAGAGAGACAGAGAGCCAGAAACATCGATGAGAGAGAGTCATCGATCAGCTGCCTCTTGCACACCCCCCACCGGGGATATGCCCGCAGCCAAGGTACATGCCCTTGACCGGAATCAAACCCGGGTCCCTCAGTCCCCAAGCCGACGCTCTATCTACTGAGCCAAACCGGTCTCGGCCAAACTCTTATTATTTAGAGTAAATTAAGCTGTGCAGCAGATTTTAAAGCCTTCTTAATTAATTTCATTCACTAACTTGTTTCCGCATACAATGTTTTTAACCTAAGGAAAGCTTTTTTTAATTAACTTTTTGGTGGTTTTTTTTGTTTTGTTTTGTTTTTAATTCAAGCAATTTTTTTCTTTGCATTTGAGATCGTTTCATTTCCTAATTTGCGAACGGGCTACTGTTGCACATTGGCCTTGTCATGTGAGCATGAGATCTAGCTGAATAAAGGACTAGAAAACTAAAATACTGATTGGGATCTTAGGACTCTGGGGTAGACCAGCAGCAGCAGCTGGGGCGAAGGCAGTGGTGTATGGTGCGTCTCTGCCATTTTCTCCAGAATTCACTCATCGCAAAGCGAATCCATTTCCCTCCTAGCTGCGGCCTGGAGAGAATGAAACGAAGACAATTAAGAAATCAGTCTATCTGGGAGTGACTCATTGAGGATCCCCCGCACCAAGCCTCGCGTCTGACTGAGATTTTAATTTTATCTGAGCAATGGCTTAAGCGTTTATGCACTTGACCATTGCTTTTGCTCATACATGGAAGGCAGAGGGTTAGCTTTCAAAAGGGATCATTTCAAAGTGACTGGTTTTGTTTACTAAAATGTAGGAGCTCTGAGGTCTGCTCCCCTTCCGCAAGAAGTTTGAATGTATGGGTAACTGTGCTGTCATGAAGATTCTGTAGCTTGCAATATTGGAGAAGTAATAAGGCACTCTTGTTGGTTGGCCATCTGGTTATACATTCTTGGTGTCATGGTTGGTTTATTTTTTTCAATTTTATATTTTAGATGGTGAGAAGCAAGGAATGGGAGTTTAGACATTTCAAAAATGCTTTATAAACAAGGAATTCATGTTTAATTGCTTAACATGGTTAAATTTTGTTTTTACCTTATGCAAAATAGGAATTGGAAGGTCTATTTCATACAGACACACACATACACACATTTTCTTACAAAAGATAAACTAAAAACTTTAACTCCTAATTTTTCCCCTCTCCAAACCCAGATGTGAACTTTTAGCTTACGTTAAAAATAGTCTCCTTACTGTAAGTAGGAGTCAGACATAAATCATAGGGAAACTCTAGAGAGAAAAATCACCAACAGAAAGGACCTATAGAGATTTCATGTTTCATCCATTTATTCAAACATATTTATTGAAACCCTAGTATTTGCATATTATGCTGCCAGACACGGAGGGATTTGCTGAAGAAATATTAAAGACATCCTCTCTTCCTTTGAGGAGCTTAAAGCTTACTCGGGGAGAAATGACATAGATATATGAAACAGTTAAGTTGTAATTCAAGGCAGCATATGATTAAATACCAAAACGTGTGCTTCCGACAAGAAATGCTATAGGAGTTCAGAAAAGAGAGTGATAACTCAGTGGCACTACTGTTTTCTGCCTACAAATTGGCAAATCGTAGCACTATTTGTATGAAATATTTTACACTTGTTTTTTTGGCAGCCTTGGGCCTTGACTCCCAGGCAGCATTAAGAGCCTACAAAATATTTGTACTCCCGCCTCTGTAAAACTGGCTCTTTTTTTTTTCTTTCTTATCGGCAGAGAAAGTGCCTTGTATAAACCAGAGAGCCCCTGAGAGGCAGTTTGTTCTTGCCTGTCATAATCTTTTCCAATTACAGAATTAGAAACCAGACTCATCACTCTCTGATTTCCAGTCCAGTGGTACATGTCCCTTCATTGCCAACTCCCCTTGACTTTGAGAGGTGACTTAATTTGAACTAAATGTCCATGACAGACGAGCTAGCCATCAAGGGTCAGATAAATGTATGGCTTTGGAGAGCTGCCGGTGAAAATCCCGTGGTCAGGTGTTCGGGGAGGAACTGGCACAGATGTAGCTGAGTTCAGACCCAGGCGCCCTCACTGGAAACAGGGCTCCCCAAAATGTCATAATGTGACACGCTGAGAATATTGAGCTTGCAGATGATGCTTAATGAAACTCACTGGCTTCCTGTTCTATTTTTGTCATATTCAAATTAGCACAGAGCTCAAAGACAAAACCATGGGGCCTAAACTCTTAAGAATTTTAAAAGAGAGAAGGGCGGGGAGGGTGGGAAGAAGAAAGAAACACCTGTAAAATGTCAATGCATATCAAATACACTGTTTGGGCCCACATCTCATTCTACTGCGATCCTCTCAGGGACTCCCACACTGAAAGGAGTTACCGTCGGCTTGCATTTCAATCTCATGATTCATGAATTTTCAGTTTCTTTTACAACAGCATCACTGGTTCTCTCCCAACTCTTCATTTGATCCGTCGTCCCTCAGGAGAGAGAGATAGCAGAGAGGTTTTCTTCTCTCCTTGACACTGTTTGATGAAATGTCTGTGGAGTTCAAAGCCCCTAGGAAATCACGTGGCCCTGGGTGCTCATTCTTTCCATCAGGCTGGCAGCCCTCTGGGGAGGCAAAAGGCCCCAAGTCAGCGTTACCTGGAGTGACCCAGACATGGAGCAAACCAAGTGATGTCAGCACTCCACTGCTGGTCATGTTTTCAGAGCAGCTGGCCCTGAACACAGCGTGGTTCACTGGGGGCCTCCTCCGAGCTGACTGACTTGGGAAAGTGGCCCTGGAAAGTGCCTCCCCCATGTCTTTTGATATAATTTGGTATATTGGGATAAATAAATGTTATGTAGCACAGAGTCATGGAATATCTTATCAAATTCTTGGGAAGACTCTGCCCTTGACATATTTTTATTTCATTATCATACTGAGAAAGTACAAAATATTAATGTATTGTGTGTGTGTGTGTGTGTGTGTGTGTGTGTGTGTGTGTGTTTTGAGGTTTTTTTTTATTGTTCATTTTTGTTTTTTACTACAAAATAATTTATGCAATAGGTCAGTATTCTGGGAGTGAATTGCAAACCTAAAACATGTATAGTATATAAACCCTGTCTTGGGCTTACTTTGCTAGGCTTTTCTAGGAGGGAGCTCTTTAATTTCAGAGTCCGTGACAGGCTGTGCTTGTGATGTATTTGGAGATGGCAACTAAAGAGATGGCTCTGGGATCCAAGTTCAGCATGTTGTTTGCATTTGTTCTCTGCTCCCAGACATGATGGGAAACACACTCTGCTGTGTTCCTGTTGCTTTTCATGGTTTTAGCATCTCATTCCTTTTCTTCCTCAAAATCAATAATCCACTATACAAAGCGTGGGATTTTGTACGGATGCCAGTGTGAGAAAGTTTTAACTAATGCATGTGTGGGGTTGCTGTTTTGTTGCCTTCCCTTTTTTTAATAGGTGTACTTTTAAAGATGATTGTGTACATCCAGAGAACTCAGAAAACTGGCTGGATATTTCGTCAGGAGCTAAAATGTGCCCTCAAATTCACATCTCTCAAAGAAGTAGAGATAAGGTAAGAGGAAAGGTTTTCATTTGCAACCATTGTATTGTCTCATTTTGCACAATTGATGCTAACTTCCTTCTGTGTGTAAAACACCTATTAGCGATCAAATATGCTTGGTTAGGAGAGTCATTCATTTAATTAACCAATGTTGAGAGCCTCCCAGACGCCGTGTACTCCTCAAGGTGCTAGGGAGATAGCAGAGACCAAGACACACCGTGAGCCTGTCCTCCTGCAGTCAGGTACCGCGTGGAGCTGCAGATGAACCCGAATAGTTGAATTTAAAGAAAATATGGACTTTTAATGTCGTATGAGAACATATTGATTTAAAAAATAGAGAAAAAAGAAATTCAGACTCATGGTCAATAAGATGCCTTAAATGTGGCTTAGTGTAGAGTTTTGTTTTGTTTTATGATTCCTTTTCCTTGTGTGTTCAGGCTTCCCCTGACAGCTATTTTATGAACATGGCTTCAAGCACTATTGGTAGAGTGGAGAGAAACCACTGTGGGCAGTGAATATTGTAAGAAGGATCCCTTGGAAAGAAAGCCAGTGGGCTCCTGCCACGGCCAAACTGTCAGTCAATCCTGTCTCTGGATGAGAGAAAGGAAGAAATTAGTATATTCAAGCATTTTCTGATTCACATACTAACCATATCCTGTGGGAAGATGGGATTCCTGCCCTGCTATCTCAACATGCTGTAAGGAGACTTTGTCTCCCTAATTATGGCTCTTGTATTATGAATGATTGTACAGAACCCCCATCAGCAGCCAGTTGACCTCACTCTGTTTTATTTGAATGTCACATTAATAAGGAAATGGGCCATTTTCTTTTTTCTCTTACACTTTGCCATTTCAACTAGCAAGCACCATACCACTTAAGATGATTTAACATTTAATAAAGGAGAGCTGGAGCATTTAATGAGCGATAAATAAGAAAAGAATCAAGCTTTCAAGTCATGACTGATCAGAACTGAAGGGTTTAAAGTTTTTTGGTTGTTGTCACTTTCTATTGTCTTCCTGGGGGAAGAGGGTGTAAAAAGAACTTTCAAAGCCTTCATCCAAACGGGCCTGAGTCAAGAGTGAAAAGACACCTTAAAAAAGGTGCAGGCATCTGCCAAAACCGGTTTGGCTCAGTGGATAGAGCGTTGGCCTGCGGACTGAAGGGTTCTGGGTTCGATTCCTGTCAAGGGCATGTGCCTTGGTTGTGGGCACATCTCCAGTAGTGGGTGTGCAAGAGGCAGCTGATCAACGATTTTCTCTCATTGATGTTTCTAACTCTCTATCCTCTCTCTTCCTCTCTGTAAAAAATCAATAAAATATTAAAAAAAAAAAAAGGTGCAGGCATCTAAGCATAGGCATGACCAAATTTTTATTTCAGTCTGAAAAAATCGTTGGTGCTGATAGAGAGTGATAGAAAATACCAAGACCCTTGAATCTACCCAGGACTCTGATGAGTGGTTAAGATTATGCAAGATATTTTTCTTCTGTCATTTTGAAAGTTTTAGGGGTAACAATTCAGCTAAGTATAGTGAGAGAATGGAACTTGTTTATTAAATAAAAAGTGCTGCTTATGCAGTTTGCTTATCTATCTTGGGGTTCACTCTTATAAATTAACCACCTTTTATATCTAGTCTGGATCATACCAAAATTGTTTACCACCCAAATAGCCACTACTACTTCCCTCCCCCGCTGTGTCCCTCTGTGGTTTACCCTAATCCCTCTAGTCTTCCCACACAACCATTACTCAATCTCTCCAGCTCATCATCACTCTCAAGATAAAGGAGATAAGGAGTTAGTAATTTGAGTCAAACTTGCCTTTGAAACCAACTTTGGACTGATTATTTTAACAGTGTTGATAGGACATTTGACTCCTTCTCTTGGTCACAATATTTCAAAAATATTTCTGTCCTATGGTCGTTCATGACTTATCCGAAAGTCTCAGGCCTTTGTTTATTTATTTATTTTTATTCTTTTTTAAAATATATTTTTATTGATTTCAGAGAGGAAGTGAGAGGGAGAGAGAGATAGAAACATCAATGATGAGAGAAAATCGTTAATGAGCTACTTCCTGCATGCCCTACACTGGGGATGAAGCCTGCAACCTGAGCATGTGCCCTGACCAGGAATCGAACTGTGACCTCCTGGTTCATAGGTCAATGCTCAAACATTGAGCTACGGAGGCCAGGCAGATCTTTGTTTATTTAAATAATACCTGGTCCTGACCTACAGAGAGGGCACTCAATGGTTTTCCTTCATTTTACCCACTAGCTCTGTTCATAGTGTTTGTAAACTGCCCATCTTATACCTCATAGCATTGTAGTAACTTCCTAGGTAGAGAAAACCCCCATATAGCACAGAGACTGTTACCAAGAATCTTAATCTCTTTACACAAAACAATGAGAAGGTAGTATATTCTCATCCTCATGAAGAAGCCGGCATTAAAAAGAAATAATTAGAGCAACCCAGTTATCTTGGAGGGATTTCTATGAGATTGAGTGAAAACAGCAAGATGCAGAAAAGTATGTATGGATCAAAAAGTCCCCATCTGAGTTTATGTGTATATATCTCTTCATGGTTATCTGAGAAAATATGGAAGAATTGATTACTAGATTGGAAACATGAGCTCCCTTGATGGAATGCCTGATGTGGGTAGAGAGGGAAGACATAGATAAATAAAAAAAACACAAACACAAAAAAGGATGAATGGCATATCCTGTTCTCACACTATGTACAATTATGTTTGTGCCTACTGATAAGGAGATTTTAACATGCAGTAAAAATGGCTTATACTGATAAAAACAAAAACATTGGAATGAAGTATTTCCCACAAAGAGCATGGATTTTAAAGGAGAGTCACTAAAAACATTCTTTTACAAATTATAATGAAAACAAGGAATTTCACCATCACTAATTCAGTCAACTTAAATTTCAGTTCTGTCCAGTCTGGTAATACAAAAAACAAGTACTAGGAATTGGATTGGAATAGGTAAAAATATCATTGTTTGCCACTCTTAAGTGGTTGTATATCTGTAAAATCTAAACATATTAGCTTTTATAACTATTTAAATTAATAAAAGTAAAACACAGTGTTAAGTGTTCAAGAAGCATTTAAATATCAATAGTCTTATTTACATGTGAAGTAAAACAAACTGTTAATGTCCATTAATAAAAGGTCCCATTTATCAAAACAACAGAAATTCTCAGATTTAATCTTATATACCCTATATTTAAATTCATGTTTACTTGGAAATGCATGTTGAAGACAAACTATCAAAAATAGTAATTTTGGCTTTATAGCAGCTTGTCTTAAGCATTTTTTTTTTTCTAATAGTAACTAGAATGTAGGGCCATGATCTATTGAGGCTATTTATAATTCATAATAGGGAAACCTTATCAATTAAAAGCATAAATAAAAATAAAAAACACAAGGTATTTTCTTAGAAGATATGAAAAGCATCTTGAACATATCCAGACACATATGGTTTTCTTGGCGGGAAAATATCATAAAAATGTCACATCTTCCTCAATCTATTTTCTAGATTTTATGCAATCCCAGTGAAAATTTGAATAGACTCTGTCTTAAAGTTAACATAAAATTCATCTGGAATAATATGAACTGGTTAAGACTATCCAAAAAATATTTTGAAAAAATAAAATTATTTAAGCAAGACCATTTCCATGATTGTAAACATATATATAATGACAATAATTCAACCCATCATTCTGGTTTAAAAAATAGGAATATACTTTTTATTCTATTCCATGAAACAGAGTAAAAAGCTGAGAAGTAGATGTAAAACTTGTAAAGATCAAATGCCATAAAATAAGAGGAAACTCAATAATTATTTCATAAAAGGGACTGAGATAACCGGCTTACAATATAAAACTGTAATTTAATTCACATTTTACATTAAATATAAAAATAAAATTTAGGCTAGTTAAGAAGTTCATATGAAAAGCTAACAGAAAATAGAATTGAGTGTCAAATAATTGAGAAGTATAATTTTCTTAGCTTTGAAGCAATATATTCAATACTATAAAATAACAAAAATATTCATAAACTTGACTTTTAAAATCTATATAACAACAAAAATAACTAAATCACATGCATTGGGAAAACATTTGCAACAAATAATATATTAAATATATTAAAGCTAGGAAAAATGAAAAAGAAATATATCAAGACACCAAAAGTAAGTGGGCAAAGTGTATATTCTCACAAGAAGAGGTTTGGAGAGTTAGACATAGATATGGCAATATGTTCAACTTCACCAGTTACCAAATAAATACAATTAAAGTGATAATAAGATATGCTAACACCTAGTGTTGGCAATGCCAATTAGCACAATCTTACTTTTTGGAAAGCAATTTTGCAAGTATGTTTCAAAAGTCATAAATATATTCATTCTGTTGCAAGCAGCAATTCCAGGCTTAGTATTCTGAAGAAGTAACTTGAAAGAAGAAAACCCAGAAACATACAGATGCTATTGCAGTAGCATTTATAGAATTAAAAACCTGGAAATGATGGAATTGCTTGGCAATAGGGGGAATAGTTAAGTAAAATAAGGTGTATTGTTGACCTGGCGAGATGTTCCTTAGCCCCCATGGACATTAATTATCAATTAATTGACACTCAAACTTTATCGGATCCATTGTGTCTTCAGTTTCTATATTTATCCATTGTAGTATAAGAAAGAATTATCAACTTGCTGAGGATCTAAGGATTCTTATGTTGGATTTATGAAGCCAATGCTTTTTATTTTATTTTTTTAAATTGATTTCAGAGAGAAAGGGTGAGGGAGAGAGAGATAAAAACATCAATCATGCCAAAACCGGTTTGGCTCAGTGGATAGAGCGTCGGCCTGTGGACTGAAAGGTCCCAGGTTCCATTCCGGTCAAGGGCATGTACCTTGGTTGCAGGCTTATCCCCAGTAGGGGTGTGCAAGAGCAGTTGATCAATGATTCTCTCTCATTGATGTTTCTAGCTCTCTATCTCTCTCCCTTCCTCTCTGAAAAAAAATAAATAAAATAGTATATATTTATAAAAAAACAAACAAATCATCAATCATGAGAGAGAATCATTGATCAGCTGCCTCCTGTAAGCTCACTACTGGGGACCAAGACCAAAACCCAGGCATGTGCCCTTGACCGGGATCAAACATGGGACCCTTCAGTCCGCAGGCTGACGCTCTGTCCACTGAGCAAAACCATCTAGGGCCAAGGCTTCAGCTTTTTAACCATACTCATCTGGAACCCAAAACCATGCAAAAATACCTTCAACTTCCTGGCTAACCTCTCCTTCCACGACAGTTGAGAAAAACTTGCTTTTTCCTATTTTCAGATCACCCCAAACTGGCTTTTGCCCCGGTGTTCCCTGGAAACTGTTCTCCCTGAGGTCACCAGTTGACTCCATGTAGCCTTTTCAGCAGATGCCAGAAGTCCTCATCCTACCTGCCTGCCTGGCCAGATTCTTGAAACCTTTTTCATCGCAGACCCTGTCCATGCTGTCTTTCTTCTCAGCCTCCCTTCCTGGCTCCTTCTCTCCCTGACTCTAAATATTAGAGTTGTTTCAGACCCAATGTTGGCTCTTCCTCTCTTCTGACTCTCTACTTTATCCACAATCTTACCCACTCCCATAGCTTTATGGATTACCTATATGTTCATGTCTCCTTTATCTCAACCCCAGATAGTGCACCCAAGCTCCAGGTCCATATCCCTTGATTATCACACACTAAACACATCCAAAATTGAAATCTTGAATTTTCTACCCAAAATTGGCCTCTTCCTCACTGTGTCCCATCTCAGTACATGGTACTCTATCCATCCATTTGCTCACCGAAATCCTTCATATCCATTGTCCATTTCCACTATACCATCCTAGCCCAGGCTTTCTTAATGATCTCTTAATGCTGTGTGGCCCTAGAACTAGACTAGGTTTTTCATCCTTCTACTAGCTCTGTGAAGACGAGGACTGTAGCTGTTAGGTTTATTAGAGTAGTCAGTGTTTTGTGCAGCTCTTGGCACATGTTAAGAGCTTGATAAATGTTTATAAATAAATAAATGCAATGATTATAGTTATATTAAAACTATGTATGTTAGAACTGGAAGGAAATGTGAATACTTTTAAACAACTGGTAAAATAGGATTTTAAAAAACTTTTCTTAAAATGTTTGGGCAGTAAAATACAGTTAAGATACATATGCATGCAGGGTAATATGTGATGTGACTATTATATATGCTGAGATTGTGGTGCAGCTATAAATGCTGGGTTGAAGAAGGCAGATGAGAGGTCAGCCGTTTGTTTGTTGAAGATGAGCTAGTTAGTGGGAATGATATGGGGTACATTACTGGCCTCAAGTCCCTGGAGATGGATGGACTTAGGTTCTTACAGGTTGGACTGTAAGAACTTGCCTTCTCCCAGCATCATTCTGTGGCCCAGAAACAGAATTCTTTGAAAATAGAAAGATGGAGTGGACCCCTGGCCTAAGATAGATTTAGCAAGCTTATTGCTAGTAGAGGACAAAAGACAGCAGAATCGTAGGCGGCCACACAGAAGGTCTGGGCGGAGATCAGAATATATGGAAGATGGACCCTCCCAGGTTGTCTGGGGTCAGAGCTCTTCAGCCTCGGGATAAGGTCTCCACTTTCCTGCTCCAGCTTCCACATACCTCGCCCACCTTCCCACCACTTCCCTTTTGTGTGCCTGGTACAAAGGGGCTCTCCATTGGCATATTCATTCCTTTAAGTTTCCTTTTCAGTAGGAGGACTGGCTGCCTTGTTTTTGTTAATTCATTGGGGGTAGGGGTGGGGGAGTTGCTTTAGAGGCAATTTCATGGTTTTATTTTTGTGACCCCTTGTGTACACACACCCACAGAATAGTCACCACTTCCAAATTTGGTCATATGTTTCACCACAAAGAAAATCTTAAATAATTTTAAAAGTAGATTTCACAGGCCACCTTCTTTAGCTATAAACTGATTTAGCAACCAGCAATAAGAAATACAGAGCTGACAACTGGAAAATCAATGTGCAACCTCTTATTTATTTATTTAAATACTCACCTGAGGATATGTTGTGTGTGTGTGTGTGTGTGTGTGTGTGTGTGTGTGTGTGTGTGTTTTAATGGTCTTAGAGACAGAGGAAGGGAGAGAGAGAAACATCAATATTGTCTCCCATGCACACCCGGTGGGGGATCAAACCCACAACCTGGGTATGTGCCTGGGAATTTATCCCCCAACCTCTTAATGTATGGGAAGATGCTCCAATCAACTGAGCCATCCTGCTAGGGAAAGGTACACTCCCTTAAACCCTTCTGGACCAAAGGGAAATAAATGAAAAACAAACAAACATGTGTTTGGATGGTAACACTTAATATCATAAAGATATAAATTCTCCTAAAATTAATTTATATATATTTAGTACAATTCCACTTCAGTATCTATTCCCTTTGGGCAAAATGATCTTAAATTATATGGAAGAATATTATCTAGGAAATGCTAAGAAAATTATGAAAATAAGGATAATAAATATACTTATCAAATAGTAAGTATGTTTAAAGTCACAGTAGTAAAAACTTGATGAATTGGAATAGAATTAGGTCACTAGATCACTGGAACAGAGCAGAGATCAGAAATAGATTCTAGCTATATGGTAATCTAATATATGACAAAAATGGTATTTCAGTTCAGCTGGGAAAGTGAGTTTTTTGTTTTGTTTTGTAAATGGTTGCAACATAGCTGACTAACCATCTGGCTAAAACTAAGGTTGGACCCTATCTCATACTATATATAAAAATAAACTCCATCTGGATCAAAGATATGTTTTTAAAAATAAAATAATAAAGGTGGTGAGACAGTTTTATATTCACCTATAAGCAAGGGTTTAGGAAGAGAAACAGTCCAAGAATTGAACATGTGATTCACAAAAGAGCAAACCTAATGGCCAATGAAACATCTTTCTTTACATTGGCAATCTGAGAAATTCTTCTATGCTGAATCAAAGGGTGAGCTCACTTAAGATTCTCCAATGGATGGAAATGAGACAAAGACAGTGATTTGGTTCCCGAGTCATCTTCTTCCTCCCACAGACTACAGTGACGTTAGTGGGAAGCGTCTCTCCAAGACACTCGGGGTGCGTGGTGAAGAACGTGGACACGGGCAGGGAGCTCTGCAAGGGTAAAAGTGCGCCAAATGAGACCTGCACCTGCAGCATCCCGACCACAGCCTCCTACAAAGGTAAGTGGGCATTTGGTGCCTTTTATTAGAAAGCGAAGAAGGCAAGAGAATCTCTTGAGATCAATGGCCCGGGAAGCAAGTTAAATGACAGAAATAGTTCAATGCTATAGACCTCTGCTCTACCACTTCCATGACTGCAGAACCCACTGTCAGATGTGACTGAGGACGACAGAGGACAGTAAGTTGGATAGGCAAGCGGAGTCAAGCCAGGGACCATTGGGCTGACCCAATTCAAATGGTTCAGAGAATTCAGACATCTGAAGAGTTGGGATGTCCTTGGTGAGAAGAGAGAATAGAGTGGCCAGTATTCTATTAACTTAAATTCCTTGCATTCATTCATTCATACAAGAAGTATTTATTGAACAACTAAAATGTGCCAGGTACTGTGCTAGGTGCTAGGAGATAAAAAAAAAAAAAAAAAGACTGACATGGTGTTTATAGCCTATTGGAGTAGAAATAAGTAAACAGCTTGTTACAGTGTAGTATGTAAGTACCATGGGAAGCACATGAAAAGGAAGCCTCACTGCACTTGGGGTGACAGAGGGGACAAGGAAAGCTTCCTAGAAGATGACTGGGTTTGAGCCAGACAAAGATGAGGAGGAAGAGTATTATTCTAAGCAGAGACCCACTAGTATATATAGAGAAAAAGCTTTGTTTAAGGAGCCAAAGAGGTTCTGTGTAGCTAAGGCAAATGGAGTAGGGACAGGTGAAAAGCAAAGTGATTAAAAAAAATGGACACCAAAGAAGGCACAAAGTGTCCAGGACAAAGTAGCCATTTTCAATCAGTGGATTTTGTTGTTGTTGCATGAATGAATGGGCTAGAGGAGGGAAGACTGAGTTCTGAAAGGTCAGATAGAAGGAAGGCTGTTGCAGTGGTCCAGGTGAGGTGGACAGTTAGAGCTGAGACTGAGGCAGATGAGAATGGAGAGAGGATAGATTCCAGAGATGGTGATGAGTACAGTTGACAGGCTAAGAACCCATGAGTTCCTACGGGTGAGAGAGAGACTGGAAGTAGAGTCAAGTTCCTGGTACAGTCTTCCTAGAAAGGGTGAGGTCATAATGGAACTGATGCTTGTGGTGAGAGCTGGTGCTGCCTAATTAACAACAACAACAAAAGGGGGCGGCCACGAGGTGGGAATTGAATGCACCAGCCAGAGAGCCAAGCTTAAATAGTGCCTCTCAGCTACTGGGCTCATGGTGACTGTGTCTGAATTGCTTGAAAAATTATGTCAGTATGCCACACTTCTTTGCCCATACTATACAGCCTTTGTGATGTCCTTCTAGTTAATTTTGCTTATTAAAATGAAGATCTTGCTCACTTGTAAAATATGCTTCTGAAGTTCTTTGAGATTACCTTGTAAAGCTAGCTGGTTGCTTTTAGAGCCTCCATCAATTGCACCCAACACTTTGCCAGCCTTTTTTTGAATGTCTTGCATATTCTGAGCAAGCAAACTTACTTTCTACCTCTTGCACTCAGCTAGCCAATGACCATTCAAACCCTTGCCCATGGCCTAGGGTAACCTCACCCCTTCCCCCAAATCCTGTTGCCCTCCTGCGTTGAAACACCGGGAGGTGGCTGGGGAGGGAAGGGGGGGAGGGGAGTGTTCCAAACAGCTTTGCTGGATTCTGCTCTCACTGTCCGGGTCACTTTAGCACCCCGTGTTCTCTCACAGGTGCTGATGGACCCCAGAACATTCAGGGTGTTTCCTTGACTGCTGTCATGGTTGTGTTTTTCACCTGAGCTGTTTTATCTCTCCATAATAACTGCAAATGCTTATTTATTTCCCTGTGATATCCCCAACAGTGATTTATGTACAGTTTTTACTCAGAAGAGTATGATTTTGGGGGTGTTTATCACTGGACATGAGGGGACTCCATCGACATGTATTTTCTCTGGGTGCCTCCTTGCTGAACGCCCACGTGTTTGTTCTCCTGACACTCAGCAAGTGTCTGCGCAAATGCTCTTGCTGAGAGGTCCAGCCAGCCGGCCAAGCATCCTGTCTCAGAACAAAGGATCTCCATCTCGCACAGGGCTGCTTTATGTGCGCAGACTTTTATGAGGCGCTCTGGCTTTCAGAATGAGTTTGGTTGCTCCAGAGAAGCCACTGAAAGTCAGGCTTCGCAGACTTTTGAAACCATGCACTGCTAAAATTTCAGTAAGAAAAGTAGTGGTGCCAATAAAATTAGGCCAGCTTCTTATTCTGTTAAGACTTTCATTAAAAAAAAAAATATGTATGTATATATATAGATATAGATAGATAGATAATAGATATAGATATAGATATAGATATCATCTACTATTGCCATTCACTTATCAAAGGAAAAAGATATTCAACCCAAAATGGGCTATCGTGGAAACATCAGGGTAGCACTGGTCCCTGTCACAGCAGGATGTGAAAGGCGCTCAGACCTGACTGGAGATGATCATTCTGTGGGGAGCATTCCAAACCACAGGTTCCAGCCATCCCCAGGCCTGCTAAGTCAGAATATCTAGGAGCGTGGCTCTGGAATCTGCATCTCCATCAGCTTCTCAAGTGATTCTGACAGCCAGTTGGGTGGGGAAGCATCTTGGACAGGGTACCATGTACATTAAAGAGGTACAGGAAACAGGACCGTTTTCTAACGCAGCTTTAGCACAGCGTTTATCTTCCTGACATTGTTATTTGGAGGTTTTTCTAACTAATGGGTAGGTTTTCAGAGGTTGGATAAGAAAGGCTGCATCATAGATTTGGCAACAGTTGAGTCCAAGGTCACAGCAGCCCCCGGGAGCCAGGCTTTAGAGTTTGTTCGGTAAACGTTGAGGTGCGGGATCTTCTGAAGTACAGGCTTTCCCCACGCACATTCTGATTCTCATGTTCTAGGCACTTCCTGCTCAGTGACTTGTTTTATTCTCATGCCGTGGCCAATTACAAGTTGAGATACTGATCCCGGGGAGAGTAAGAGATGTAAATGGGCTGGAAAATGGCTTTTTCCTAGTGATTATCCACGGGAGGCCCGCACGCGGGGTGGGCCCGGGTCTGTTCGGAGCCTGTGCTGAGCGCTCTGGCTGCCTGGCGAGAATGGCCCATGGGGAAGAACCCCATACCGATGGAAATGTGAGCCAGCAGCTGGCACAGCCGCCGCCCTCACATACAAAGGAGGCAAAAATATTTATGTTTTGCATGTACTGCTTTGCTTGACTCCACGGTAAATGACTTTCTTTCCCCCTTTGCTCCAGATGTTTTAGTTGTCGACGTGACGTTCTCCTTCGGCTCTTGGCATTTATCAAAAAGATTCAACTTTACCAACTGCTCGTCATTCAGACAGTAAGATTTTATTTGAAATCTAAATATCCTCTCATTAGCTGTAATTTATTTGTTTGCGTTACCCCTCAACTTCGTAAAGAACTCTTTTGTGGAGTAGAAGTTCCCGAAGTGCCTTTTGGAGCAGGGGCCTAATGGGATCTGGGAAGGCCCTGAGCCAGGGAGCGGCTGAGGAGCGCACAGCTGTGCGGGAGGGTTCCCGCCAAGGGGGACCCAGTGATGGCCTTGAAGTAAGAGCAGTCGAAGGGGTGCTGCCAGCTTCCCCCTGATCAGAATGGCTTTGGGAACTTGAGTCCAGAGAGAGAGTGTGAGCGTGACGTAAGGGGAAGTCCCACTCCAGGAGAAGGAACAGACAAAGTCTGTTTCATCATAGAACATGTTAAACCATTAACCACAGCAAACAGTGTGGTGGTTACCAGAGGGAAGAGGGTGGGAAAGGATAAGTAGGATGAAGGGGGTCAAATAGATGAGGACAGAGGGAAACTAGACTTCGGGTGATGAGCACACAGTGCAATATACAGTTGATTATCATAAAACTGTACACTTGAAACTTACATAATGTTCTTAACCAATGTCTCCCCAATAAATTTAATTTAATAAAGAATGCTAATTCTGCCCCCACCTTTTTTTTTAAAAAATGTGTTTTTATTCATTTTTTTAGAGAAAGAGGAAGGGAAGAGGGAGAGGGAGATAGAAACATCAATGAGAGAGAAACATTGATCCACTGGCTCCTACACATCCCCCACTGGGGATCAAGCCTGCAACCCCTGGCATGTGCCCTGATCAAGAATCAAACTCATGACCTCTAGCTTCATGGGTTGAAGCTCAAGCATTGAGCCGTACCGGCTGGGTTGATTTTTTTTTTTTTTTTTTTTTTTTTTTTTTTAACACATTTGGCCCTGTTGAGCTACACAATCCCCTGAGTTAGGGCCATGCCTCACTCCTAGCTTCTAAAGCAGAGAGGACAGAGGAAATTTGTTTCTCAGATTCCTGATTTTCCAGTTGGGAGATGGGGTGGAGGTTCCCATGGAAACAATGGGAAGCTCTATTATTAGTGATTCTATAGTTCATTCAGTGGATTGATTGACCAGCTGTGTGAGTACCAAATGTGAGCCTCTTTGGCCTGGCCTGGGAACCATTGTTTCTTTAAGGAAAATGAATTCAAATTTGAAGCTGAGTTGGGAGGCCGCTCTACAGCTATTAGGACAGAGGCACCAGGAATTTATCTTTACCCTTGCAGGACTGAGTTCAGTTATCTCTAATAAACAGAATGAATTTAGAAGGGAAAAAAAAAGCCAAACTTAATACAGAAAGCCTCAGAAGTCCATGAAAATAGGAAAAAAGGGGGAGAGTTAAATAGAATTTTATGGCTCAAAGAGAGCTGAAACATAAAGCAGTTCTCCACCCTTGTGTGGAGGCCAGACAAAGCAGTGACTTGCCTCATGTCCCACAGCCAGCGATTAACAACCAGACCTCGGACCCACAGCTCCCAGAGGGCAAGGCCCTTTCCCTGAGGAAAGTGGAGTGCCACAGTCAGTGCCACAGTCAGTCCTGGGGCATAGGATGGGCATGCAAATCCAGACTCGCCCTAGCGCACTCAGATAAACACCGAGTCTGGGTCTTCTCCCACTGAAGCTCAGAATGCTCTGGCATTTCTTGAAGAACATAGAAAACGTGAATGGTGTCCCCTTTCCCTGTGCTCGTCCTCTCACTGTCCCTGGCTGGGCCTTCCTGGGGCCTCCTGTTTCCAGAACAACCTCTATTTGTCTGTTTGTTGTTCTCTAACTCTGATTATCCTGCAAGTGCTTTGCAGGCCCTCCCCTATTATCCATGCATGATAGGCTATTTGATTAGTAGACACAATTCTTCCTCAATTTAATTAAAAAGCAAACACTGGCATCCCATTCCCTCTGGGCAGTTGGTGTTGTTACTGCTGAGGTGGGCAGGGTGAGGGTGGGAGGGAATGGGCAGTTGGTGTTGTTACTGCTGAGGTGGGCAGGGTGAGGTGGGCAGAGGGGAATGTACCTGAGGATAGACAAAGAGCAGTAGATTCAGAAACAGATTCAGTGGGTTCCTGTTATCTACCTGTGCAGCAGGTGACCTGGCTTTAGGTTTCCATGGTAACCCTCCTGTCGTTGTGAAGATAGTCAATCAGCCAGAGAGCCCGGGAGCAGGTCCACCAAGTCAGTGCCCTGGCCCCAGCCCCAAAGAACTGTCCTCTCTGCGCTACCCTGGGCTCATCAGTCTGTCTAGGGTTTTTGTTTTTTTTCTTCTTTTAAATGCTCGCATGCCACATCACAGAGGGAAATTCTAGGATATGAAGACTTTCCTAAAAATGTAGGAATTAAATTGGTTTTCTGTGTGGCCAGATGCCCAGCGTGTATTGGAACTGGCTGTGCTTGGTGTAAAAGTGAGAGAAAGTGTATCCACCCCTTCACAGCTTGCAGCCCTTCTGATTACTACAGGAACCAGGTAAAGTGACATTTTTGGTATTTCAAGGTTTAACCAAAAATAAATATTGGTAACCACCCCGCCTGTCTTTTGTGTTTCTTTTAAACTCTGAACGTCCCTCCTATTTGGATGTTGAAGGATGTGCTTCATTTCAGGAACCTTGTCAAGCTGCTGTTGAGAAGCCGGCACCATCCAAGACAGCAGGAGGCGGCGGGTTCGAGGGGATTAAGACGAACAGAACCACCCGGGGCGGGCAGGTCAGGCTCTGTTTGTCTGTTGATAATGGGAAAATCCCCCTTTAAGTGACCATAACAACTACTACTTTGGGTTCCTTTTATAAAATTCCCTTTTTTACTTTATACCAAAATTCCCCTTTTCACCTTTGGTTTTAAACCAAGTTTCATTTAATTGGCTCAGTACATCAAGATGGCACATTCACATAAAAGAAATTAAAATTCTGTAACTGTGAAAAATGTTGTTCTGGGAGGAGTAAAATTTTAAAGGTGATGTTGTGGCTCACGTGGGGAGAGTTAGGAGGAAGTAAGACACACAGCACTGAGGGGATTTCAGTTCAAACCACATATTATGATCGCATTTCTGGGGATTTCGTGCAAGGGAGAGCATGCAAAGTATGCACACTAAACACATTCCAATTGCTTTTCTTACTTTGTAGAGACAATCTAACTAGTAGTTAGCAACTCCAAAACAAAGAGTTATTTCTATATAATGTATCTATCTTTCTTTCCACTTCTCAAAAAATGGTTATCTTCATTGGAAATTCCTCTTATTCACCAAGATCAACTAATAGACATATTTGAAAAGAGAGGAGGTGGCAATGTAAGCATTTTCAGGCAGACCCTGGGGCTGTGCTTCGAGAACAGAGAAGTGCTGACTTCCTTCAGTGGACAAAAGTTAATTGAGCATCTACTATGTGGTAAAAAACAAAAGGGCAAATTTTTATTCTCATTAACCTTGGGGTCTAGTAGGAGCAAATAGAACAACTTTTTTTTTTTTTCCTGAAGGCTCAGTTTTCTATTCCAAGACTAATCTGTGGTTTTGATTTATCCAATTGCTGCTCTTTAAGGTCAAGTGCCAATATAAATAAGTAGCACATTTTTACTCACTACCAAAAAGTTGACAGTAACTTTAGGTAAATTAAGTAACAGTTAACGGGAATGGGAATCAAAATGGATTATGAAGTTAATTAAAGGCATTACAAAAGCTTGATGTGCCAATATTTCAGACTTTAAAAGTCTTTGAGGTCTTAATAATTGATGGGCTTGTTAAGCAAGGGACCTTTCTCTTCCCATTGATTTATAAAATAAGGCATAGTTACAGGACTTGGGATCAAGGAGGCAGTGACTTTTCTAAAAAATTAAACTTATCATCTTTTGTTGTTTCAGTTTTTTAAATGTTGGTGAAATACACATAGAAGAAAATTGACCATCTCTACCATCTTTTATAAGTGTACACTATTGTGTAACAATCACCACCATCCATTGCCAGGACATATTTCATCTTGCAAAATTGAAACTCTATATGAATTAAACAATAACTCCCCATTTTGCCTTCTACTCAGACCCACCATTCTACTTTCTGTCTCTGAGATAGATTACCCTAGGTGCCTTATATAAGTGGGACCATGCAAGATTTGTCTTTTTGTGACTGGTTTGTTTCACTTAACATAATGTCCTCAAAGTTCATGCATTTTTGTAGCATGTTCAGAATTTCTTTCCTTCTAAAGACTGAATAATATTCCATCATGTGGATAGACCACATTTTCTTTCTCCATTCATCTGTTGATGGGCATATGGGTTACTTCCATCTTTTTGGTATGTTGTTTGTGTTTTTGATTGTTGTAGGAGTTTCTCATATATTGAAGACTAGAGGCCCGGTGCATGAAATTCATGCATGAGGGCAGGAGGGTGTCCCTCAGCCCAGCTTGCATCTCTTCAATCTGGGACCCCTCAATCTGCTGGATCCAAACTCCTCGCCTGCCTGTCTTCCTGATTGCCCCTAAATGCTTCTGTCTGCCAGCCTGATCACCCCCTAACCACTCCCGTGCCATCCTGATTGATGTCTAACTGCTCCCCTGCCAGCCTTGTTTGCCTCCAACTTCCCTTCTCTGCAGCCTGGTCACCCCTAATGGCCCTCCCCTGCAGGGTTGATTGCCTCCAACTGCCCTTCCTTGCAGGCCTGGTCCCTCTCAACTGCCCTCCCTTGCAGGCCTGGAGCCTTCCAACTGCCCTCCCCTGCTGGCCATCTTGTGGTGGCCATCTTGTGTCCACATAGGGGCAGGATGTTTGACCACATGGGGGCAGCCATGTTGTGTGTTGGAGTGATGGTCAATCTGCATATTACTCTTATTAGATAGGATAGAGGCCTGATGCACAGGTGAGGACCAGCTGGTTTGCCCTGAAGGGTATTCCGGATCAGGGTGGGGGGTTCCCTTGGGGCTTAGGGCGGCCTGGGCAAGGGGGTTGTGGTGGTTTGCAGGCTGGCCATGCCCCACAGGGACCCAAGCAGAGGCCCTGGTATCTGGAATTTATTTACCTTCTACAATTGAAACTTTGTAGCCTGGAGCGGAGCCAAGCCTCCTGCTCACTCTGTAGCTGCCATTATTTCTGTTTGGATTTCTTTACCTTCTATAATTGAAACTTTGTATCCTTGAGTGGAGGCTTGGCCCGCCAGAGTGTGTGGAAAGCTTGGCTTCCTCTGTTGCTGGGGAAACCCAAGCCTCCCTTCTGGTAGCCATCTTGTTTGGGCTTATTTGCATACTCACTCTGATTGGTTGGTGGGCATGGCTGGTGGATGTAGCATAGTGATAGTTAATTTGCCCCAAACTATTGCTCTTTTTTTAGGTAGGATATCAATCCCCTGTCAGATACGTGATTTGCAAATATTTTTTCACATTCTGTAGGTTGCCTTTTCATTCTTTTGGCTATGTCTTTTGCACAGAAGTTTTTAATGTAATGATAAAGTCCAGTTTTCAGATTTTTATTTTGTTGCCTGTGCTTTGGATAGTGTACCCAAGAAATCATTGCAAAATCTAGTTTTCATACACTTTTTCTCCACATTTTCTTTTATGAATTTCATAGTTTTAATTCTTAGACTTAAGGCTTTGATCCATTTTGAGTTAATTTTAGTAAATGGTATTAGGAAAGGGCCCAGCTACCTTCTTTTGCAGGTGGATATCCAGTTTTCCCAGCACCATTTGTTGAAAAGACTGTTCGTTTCCCACTGAATAGTCTTGCCTCCCTGTTGAAACAATTTGCCTATATATGTGAGGATTTATTTCTGGATCTAGTCCATTGGACTGTATGTCTATCTTTATAACCAAAACATTGCTTTGGTTACTGTAACTTTCTGATGTTTTAAGACCAGAAAGTGTGAGTCCTGCCACTTTGTTCTTTTTCAAAAATTGATTTGGAAAAATAATTCAACTGTTTTTGGAGATAATTGTAGATTCACATATAGTTATAAGAAAACAATACAGAGAGATCTCACATATCTTTTACCCAGTTTCCTCCAATAGTAATGAGCATCTTGTAAAACTATAGCACAACCTCACAAGTAGGATATTGACAGTGACAACAGTCAAGACACAAAGCAGCCCTGTCACCTCATGTTGCCCATCTGTAGCCATATGTACTTCCCTCCACCCTCACACTCCCCATCTCTGACTCAGAACCACTGATCTGTGCCCTGTTTCTATGATTTTATTGTATCATAAATGGAATCTTCTGGGCTAGGCATTTTTAACTCAATGTTACTCTCTGGAAATTCATCTAAATTCCTTTATGTATCAATAGTTTGGTACTTTTCATTGTTGAGTAATGGTCCAGACAGTGCCTTTTTAAATTTCTTTTATTTTAAAGGGGGAAAACTAGTCACTGACTCATGGTTTCTTGTACTATCTTCCTGTATACATTGACCTTTGATGCTGTGTGGTTAAAAGAACTGGACTCACTAGAGAGCAGGAGGAGACTAAAGATCAATATAGCCCAGACTCATCATCAGTGCTTCTCCATGGGTGCTTCTTAGTTTGGAGAGAGGCAATTTGTTGATACTGAAATGTGTTGTCTTTAAATATATGACTCAGCACAGAATCTCAATTTTGGTTGATAGAGAACAGAGTATTCCTGTCACAGGAAGAATTTCTCATGTTCCATGAGACACTGCTGTCTTTCACTATCGTGTGGAATGGGAAAATTCAGACTTCTGATTTGAGTCCCCGTGTTGGCCTGAACACTCTCTTCCCAGAAGAAAAGCTATCGAGAACTTTCTCTCAAGGCATCTTCCCACATCACCTATCTACTGCGCGCTCAGCACTGTGCCAGGCACTGGGGACTTGCGATGTGACTGGTGCAGACACAGTCTTAAGCTTCATGATGCTGAGCTTGGGTTGGTTCTTCCTACAGGTATTTATGGAGCACCTGTTAGGTGCCATTTCACTGAGCTCCATGGATGCAATGAGGAGGACACGAATGAATCAGGCACCTCTCTTGCTGTCAGGCTCATGAATCTCATACTTGAATACATAAGTAAGAGTACAAGATAAGAACTGTTAGCAGGGATGGGGAAAGTATACAAACCCAGAGACTTTCTCTGTGCCTCAGGCCTTATCTTAGTCATCCCTGTTTATGTAAACCCAGTGCCTGGCAGTTAAACACACTTAATCGGTGCGGTTGGTTAAGACTTTGATGGATGGATAGATTCATTGACAGAGATGGCATTTCAGCTGACCTTTGAGAGACAAGAAGCATCCAAAAGGAGTGGGTATTCTAAGCAGAGGGACTGGTGTAAGCAAAAGCATAGTGGGGGTGCCAGAAAATTCTGGAGTACTCATTCTAGGAAACCCAAAGTGATTCAATCTGGCTGGAGCAGAAGGCTGCAGGAAAATATGGGACATGGGTTTGGCACGCCCCTGGAGCCTGCAACTACAGGGCCTTACAGCCAGGCCTAGGAGTTTTCACTTTGTTCTTCAAATGCATCAAAATGCTACTGAGACTTATTTTAGTCTTATATGCCCATAGTTCTGATTTATGAGATCTTTTTTTAGCATATGAAGTTGCTCATCCCAGGACATGGTACTTAGGAGATAGGGTTTCTGGTTCAATCCCAGTTTGGGCCTTTTTTTCTTGTACAGATTTATGACCTATGACCTATCACAGTAATCTGACCTAAGGACAAGTGCTGTCATTTGCCAGGGACTGGACTAAGGAAAAGCAGGGAAACAGACTCAAAACCCAGTGTC